AACAATAGTACTCCAAGTCCAAGTATAGTCATTTATGTAATGCGAGGACTTTGATGAAATAAAGCTAGATAGTTAAAAGTTAAGTTGAAAGAAATTTTTTTTGTAACCCTCAAATAATAGTCCCCCAAGTCCAAGTATAGATATTTATATCATGGTTGGAGTTAGAGATTTGCTATTGTCTAAGAAGTGATGAGAATGATGAAGTCTAGGTGGTTGGGAAATCGAACCCACAAGGCTTGATGGATGAATTATGAGATAAGAGTCGAGGTGGTTGAGAAATCGAACCTGCGATACTTGATGGCGGAATGACGATGAAGAAGCCAAAGTGGTTGACCTGAATGACGATGAAGAAGCCGAGGTGGTTGAGAAACCGAACCTACGAGGCTTGATGGCTGAATGACGATGAAGAAGTCGAGGTGGTTGAGAAACCGAATCTACGAGACTTGATGGCTGAATGACGATGAAGAAGCCGAGGTGGTTGAGAAACCGAACCTACGAGACTTGATGGCTGAATTCTGAGGCATATTGACAATAATTGTTCCTCGGTAGCTGTGTCAATGATTTGATATTTTGCGCATATTTTCGAGGAAAAGTGGTTGAACCGTTACAATTTTCAAGGCTCCTGCTGCCATCGAATTAAAACCATAATCATGAGAACAGCTGGAGCTTCTAGAAGCAGATGCGTGGGGGACACGCTTAAATCTGAGGCGTAGGTTTGAAAAACCGTTTGAATTCAACGCCTTGGATTTGATTAAGAATGATGGGTTTAGATTGGATGGGCTTTGATCAGATGGTTGGGGTTCGTCCTGGCCCTTTATAAAAGGCGAGAGACCCTCATTGTCTTGGATTTTCTACCTTTTGCAATCCAATTTTTCTTCTAAAGCTAAAGTTTTCCGGCGTCGAAGCTCTTTGTCCCCTGATTTTCCGGCAGCATTTCGTCGGTGTAGTAACCCCGTAGGTATTTTTATAGAAAATCACTTGTATTGTGTTCTTAGTCGTTTTCTGAAATGGAGTCCACCTCGGGTAGGGAGTTGGTCACTATCGCGTCATTCGATCAGGGGGCTAGATACAGGGGGACTCAGTATGCTATGACTGAGGTGGCAGTAGATTATAGTGTGGAGTGGGGGGCGTCTAGGTCCCTTTGAACATGACAGGGAAGAGTTTGAGGGAGATTAGGGAGAGGTATTGTATACCTCATTTATGTAGAGACGCTAGAACCCGAGGCCCATGAGTGGGCCTGCTATTCGAGGCCTGGGTGCGTGGCGGTGAGCGAGTACCTGTTTAAAGCAGGTATGCGTCTTCCTCCACACCCCTTCTTCAGGGTGGTGTTGAGGAACTTTATGCTGTCACTGACCCAAGTTCTACCAAATGGGTGGAGCAAGTTGGTCGGCTCGTACTTCCTATGAAAGGAAGTTTCACTTGGGGAGGATATACCTTTCCACGTCTTCATGACCCTATTCCAGCCTAGGGTAATAGATAAGGAGTCAAGGGGGTGGTATTACTTGACTCCTTGGGCGGCTTATGCACCATTTGTGGTGGGGTTGCCTTCTTCCATTACCGGGTGGAAGGAGTCGTGAATCTGGGTGAGGGGCAGGCGGCAGGCGGTGGAGGGAGACACAGCCCTGGCTTGCACAGTACCGACCTAGTACTACGAAGCTCGTACGTTTCCCAGCCTAAGTAGTTTGCATTCTGTATTCAAATTTCTTTTTTCTCTAACTATTGAGGCTTCATTTGCAGATAGTAGTACGAGGTTTGAGCTGAGAAAGGAGGAGTTCGAAGTGATAGAGGACATTTACAAGAGGCCTCTCAAGTTTCGCCACTTCGACCACTTCATCGACCGAAGTTGCTACTTCCTTGATTTCGAACTGATGGCCTCCAAGGGTAAGAAGCTCCTATACTTAGTGTATTTCTCGCTTTTTGTTTTGATGCTGATACATTGACATGTTCTGCAGATAAGTTCAAGAGGAGGGAGTACCCAGTCCCTGATATGGCCTCTATACTGAAGGCCACATCTACTATGAAGGCGAGGCCCCTGAACCTGGGGTCCAGTGGTACCAAAGAGGTTCGGGAGAGGATCGAATGCCTCTCTAAGGAGAGCAGTTCGAGGGCTCCAGAAGAGGGGACACCTTAGAGGACAGAGGAGGTAAAAGAGCCTCGGAGGAAGGAGAAGGTTCTCGAAGAGCCAAAGAAAAAGAAGCTGGTGCACGTCACCAGCTCATCAAGAAAGTTTGGGACATTTGTGTCCCATGTAGGCAACGAAACTAGTCAGCTGAAGCTCCTTGCAGCCACCTCGAAAGCTGTTAAGATTGAAATGGTTCGTCGAGCTGAGGCTAAGAAGGCTAAGGAGGAGGCTGCGAGAGGACAGCGGAGGCGGCAGAGGAGGAGGCCACCAAGGAGAGACCTGCGATGGTGCAAGGGAAGTCTCTGAGCTTTCTTGCTGGAAGGGAGGCGGTTTTGGCTCCAGCGTTGGTGGAGGCTCTGCCACCTGAGATCCGAAGTGCCCCAGAAAGCTTCTACAAATTCTGGACGGATCAGTGGCAGTTGCATGACTCCTCATGTGACGCCACGAACTTGACAAGGGCCCTGGTGAGCCAAAGTGTGAGGACCTTTGGCCTCGCACTGGAGTGTAGGGAGGCCCTTACTGACTTTCAAATGAGGACCCAGTCCTCGGAGAAGAAGATGGCCTCCTTTACAGAGGAGCTGAAGAGGGCTAGAGCAGAGGTGGAGGAAGCGAGGGCCTAAAAACTTAAAGATGCGGCCAAGCTGGAGTCTGCCTTGGTTCAAATCGAGGCGTTGAAGAAGGAGGTGTATGAGTCCCAGTGCGAGGTAGCCTCCTTGACTAAGAAAGTGGAGGTTTCCAATGACCACTAGAAGGTGACTGCTGAAGCCTTGGAGAAGGCAAATATGGAGCTAGCAGGGGCCCAAGATGTGTACAAGTTCTTGGAGGGCCAGATAAAGTGGTACGTTGATGATGCGACTAAGTCAAGAGAGGAGGTCCATGAGTCGAGGAAGAGGCGGTAAAAGACTATATTGCCAACTTTCACAATATCGAAGAGTACAAGAGTTTCAACACTTACTGGAGAAATTTTGCCTATGCCAAGATGATGGAGAGGGCTGAGGAGCTTTACCCCAATCAAGACCTGTCACAGCTTAGGTCGGAGTTTGTGGATGAAGTGCCTCAAACCCCAGCTGATGAAACGGTTGGAGATGAAGTGGCGGAGGTAGAAGAAGGAAGTTCTGATACTCAAGCTGCAGAGGCCTCGGCTGTTGAGACACCTCCACCGTCATCACAGGCTTAGGATAATTTTATTTTCAATTATTTCTGATGTACTGGCCTCGGGCCCCCTTATTGTAATCTTGATTGTAAATTAATATAATATCCTTTTTCATTCAATGTTGTTTTTCTCCAAAGTACATTGGCCTCATCAAGCAATTGAACTTAATGTTGATTAAAGAACTAAATAACTTTAACTTAGTATCCTAACTCCAATCACTTGAACAAGTAAATTGTACGCAAGCCTCATGAGTCATGGCCAAGTAAATTGTACGCATGCCTCACGAGCCATGAACAGTATTGGACTTAAGCAAATAAATTGTACTTAAGCTTAATAATTGTAACTTGAATGGATCTCGACTAGATCGTGTTTTAGCCGAACTGGGAATATTGCTGTCTAATTCGAAAGGTAGTTGAGTGAAGCTAGCAGTGGTTGAGCCTTGCGCATAAATAAGTGCACGAGCCTCGAAGTTGAAACGAGGTGGCCCAAAGATGGAACGCTGGCCTCTATTCTGAGGTGTTCACGCTTCCCGACATTGTGGATGGTTCAGCCATGCTGAGGCTTCTCCCAGTGGCGTTCAACCTCGCCAAAGAGAGGCAAGTGCATGAGCCTCGGAGTTCAGATGAGGTGGCCCAAAGATGGGAGCTGGCCTCTCCTCCGAGGTAATGCCGCTTCCCAACATGGTGGATGGTTCAGCCATGCTGAGACTTTTTCCAGCGGTGTTTAGCCTCATCAAAGGGAGGCATGTGCATACGCTTCGGAGTTCAGATGAGGTGGCCCAATGATGGGACGCTGGCCTCTCCTCCGAAGTGATGATGCTTCCCAACATGGTGGATGGTTCAACCATGCTGAGGCTTCTCCCAGTGGCATTCAGCCTCGCCAAAGGGAGGCAAGTGCATGGGCCTCGGAGTTCAGACGAGGTGGCCCAAAGATGGGATGCTGGCCTCTTCTTCGAGGTAACGATGCAATGTGACGTGAATTCAATTATGGATAATTTTATTGAATCATGGAAGTTACATAAGCTGGGAAAGATTGTCCAGCGAGGTAGTACATTCATTGAAAATAGATTCAGAGGTGTCCCGGGTCGGATCTCCTCTCTGATTTTGCATGGACCTTTCCAGTTCGGGCCCAGAGACTTGGTTCCAGGTTCCTTCGAGGAGAGGAAAACTCTCCTAAGGACTAAGTCGTTGATTCGAAATGACCTCTTCTTTACCTTTGAGTTGAAGTACTTCGTCATCTTTCTTTGATATGTGCTGAACTTCAGCTGGGCATCATCTCTTCTTTCTTCAATGAAGTCGAGGTCGTACCTGCGAAGGTCATCATTTGTTATCTCACTGAAATGCAGACGTCGTGGAGATGAAAGTCCGACCTCGACGGGGCTCATCGCCTCAGTTCCATATGCCATGAGGAAAGGTGTTTCCCCTATTGGGGTTTTCGCAGTGGTTCGGATTGCCTAAAGAACCTGTGGTAGCTCATCTACCTAGACCCCTTTTGACACATTGAGCTTCCTTTTTAGGACGTGCTTGATTGTCTTGTTCACAGTGTCAACCTGGCCATTTGCTTGTGGGTGGTGAGGCGTGGAGAAGTGTTTCTTGATGCCAAGTTCTTTACACAAACTTCTGACCTTCTTGTTGTCAAACTGTCTACCATTGTCTGAGACGATCGAGTAAGGAGTCCCGAATCGGCATATGATGTTTTTCCACAAGAACTTGGAAGTGTTGGCTTCTATAATTTTGCCAGCGGTTCAGCATCAATCCACTTCGTGAAGTAATCAATGACCACAATTGCGAAGCTCGCACCTCCTCTGCCTTTTGGTAGAGGACCTATACGGTCCACACCCCACTTAGAGAAAGGCCAAGGGCTGGAGACCGCGGTCAAATCTTGATATGGTTGTCTTTGAACAGGAGAGAATCATTGACATTTGTCACATTTTTCGTACAAACTCAAGGGCATCTCTTTTCAAGGTAGTCCAGTAGTACCCTTGTCTCAGTATCTTTTGTGCCAAAGATAGACCTCTAAAGTGGTTGCCGCACACACCCTCATGGACTTCTCTTAAGATGTAGGTAGCATCTTCTCCTTCGACGCATCGTAAGAGTGGAAAGGAGAAGCTCCTCTTATAGAGTACATTATCAATGAAGAAGAAATGGGCTGACCTCCTCCTTAGCTTGTAGGCCACATGCTTGTCAGTGGGAAGTTCCTGGTCCTTGAGGTATGCCACGATGGGCTGCATCCAGGTAGGAGTCCCAGCGATCCACCTTACATTGGGAGCCTTGGTTAACGGTATGAGGAGGTGCTCTATAGGGACTACTGTGAGTAGTTCGGAATCCTTGCTACTTTCAAGTTTGGAGAGTGCATTCGCATGTGCGTTTTCAATGCGGAGATCTGGATCAACTCAAACTTTTCAAAGGATGAGATGAGGTTCATCACCATTTTCAAGTAGGAGGCCATTGTTTTGTCCCTGGCTGAGAAGTTACCATTGACCTGGTTAACGACCAGCTGGGAGTCACTACTGATAAGTAGTCTCTTTACTTGCATTTCTTTGACTAACCTGAGGCCTACGATAAGCGCCTCGTATTCTGCTACATTGTTGGTGGTCTTGAATCCGAACCTCAACGTCGAATTCAGCTTGTGACCTTCCGGCCTGATGATGACAACTCTGGCACCCGAGCCGACGTCCCCAGCCGACCCATCAACGAATGGGTTTCACGTCGGGGGCTCGGCTTGTTCCATGATTTCGTCCACCTCGAGTAAGTTGGCGAATTCTGCCACAAAGTCAGCTAAGGCTTGGCCCTTGATGGCTGCCCTAGCCTTGAACACGAGGTTAAACTTACTTAGCTCCACCGCCCATTTCAATAATCTCCCTAAGGCATTGGGCTTTTGGAGTACCTGCCTTAGGGGAAAATTTGTCAGCACGTGGATGGTGTGGGCTTGGAAGTAGGGTCTCAACTTCCTGGAGGCCGTGATCAAGGCCAAAGCGAGCTTCTCCATATCGGGGTAGCAGGTTTTCGGTGATAGGAGTGCTTTCCTTGTATAGTAAATGGGGAGTTAGGTGGTTCCTACTTCTCGGGTTAGAACCGCACTGATGGCCTCATTGGAGACGGCTAGATACAGCTGTAGGTTTTCACCGAGCTTTGGTTTGGAGAGGAGAGTGGCTTGCCCTAGTTGCCTTTTCAGGCCCTGGAAGGCCTCTTCACATTCCTCATTCCACTGGAACTTCTTCCCAGCTTTTAGCACTTTGAAAAATGGGAGGCATTTATCCGTAGCCTTGGGACGAAGCGGCTAAGCGTGGCTACTCGTCCAGTCAAGCTTTGCACCTCTTTTGGCTTTTGGGGGGACCTCATCTTGCATAGGGCCTCAATCTTCTCAGGGTTGGCTTCAATACCAAATTGGTTGACGATGTATCTTAAGAATTTACCGGAGGCCACTCCGAAGGCGCATTTGAGGGGGTTGAGCCTCATCCTATATCTTCTCAAGATTTGGAAGGTGTTGTTGAGGTGCGTTATGTGGTCCCCAGCTTCCAAACCCTTTACCAGTATGTCGTCTACGTAGACCTCCAGTGTCATGCCGATGAGGTCCACAAACATTTTGTTCACGAGCCTTTGATATGTTGCTCCGGCGTTTTTCAACCCGAAGGGCATCATCTTGTACCAGTGAAGGCCTTGGTCTGTGATTAAGGATGTGTGTTCCTCATCGGCCGAGTGCATGGGGATTTGATTGTAACCGGAATATGCGTCCATGAAGCTCAATAACTCGTGCCCAGCCGTGGAGTCTACCGTTGATCCTTGGAAGTGGAAAGCTGTCCTTCGGGCAAGCTCTGTTGAGGTTAGTGAAATTGATGCACACCCTCCACTTGCCGTTGTGTTTCTTCACTAAAACTGGATTGGAGACCCACCTTGGGTAGGTGGCCTCCCGGATGAAGCCATTCTGGATGAGTTTCTGAACTTCTTCCTTCAGGGCCTCGTACCTCTCAGGATTGAGGGCTCTCCTTTCTTGTCTATGCGGGGCAACCTTAAGATCAATTTTCAGGTGGTGGCAACTGACCTTAGGGTCTATGCCTACCATATCCTCATGCCTCCAAGCAAAGATATCGAGGTTTCTACTTAGGAAATCCTTGAACTTTCCTTTCGCAATGCTGGACAAGCCCTTACCCACCTTCAACAATTTGGATGGATCTTGGGGGTCCACCAAGAAGCTCTCAAGTTCCTCAATTGGGGATGCTTGAGGTTTGTGTTCAATTATGCAGGGATCAATCTCATCGATGACCAATATTTTCGGATTGGGTGGTGCATCAATCATTTCGACATCTTTCGGTTCGTTGGGACATCACCTAGGGCATCAGCCATGACTACGTCGGCAATAATTACGTGGACGTCCTGGGGCTCCACCTTTCTGATGGAGCTTAAATAACATTCTCTTGAGCCTCTTTGGTCGCCTCTCACCGTTGCCACCCCATTTTCAGTCGGGAACTTCATGCATAGGTGGTGGATGGAGGTGACGGCTCCCAATCCTTTTAGGGCTGTCCTACCCAATATTCCTTGGTAGGCCGATCGACTGTTGACAACAAGAAATTCCATGAAGTTCATTGTGGTTTGGGGGAGACTCACCCATCTCTACCGCGAGTGTGATTTTTCCTCTCGGAGTAATGCTATCTCTGGTTAATTCGTACAAAAGAGTGTTGGTGGATGTTAACTCATGGTCTAGTATCATCTTGTCAAAGGTGGATCCGAATAGAATGTTGACGGAGCTACCATTGTCAACTAACATTCGTTTGAGCCCATTTCGGGCTATGACTGGTCTTACCACAAGTGCATCGCAATGGGGGCAGTGAACTCCTTCGGTGTCCTTCTGGGTGAAGGCAATAGGTGGAACTTGATCCCTATGGGAGCTGTGGCCTACAATGTAGCTGGTAAGCGGGAGGCGCTTGGCCTCACGAGCATAATTCATTTTAGCGTTCCGCGTTTCACCGCCCACATATGGGCCTCCAAAAATGGTATCCACCTCATGGATAGGGGCCTTATCCTGAGCATGTCGGTTTCTCTAGGGTCTGCATCCTTCACTAGGCCTCTCTGCATCACGCTCCATTCGTCGCGGAGAAACGTCTCTTTGACGTGGAGCGGCCTCTTCACGCCTAGGTTGGTTATCGTACCTTGGTGGGGGTCTGTTCGCTTGGGGCGATTCATTCCTGTCCCTAGGGGATTCTTGCCGGGAGCAGTGAGCATAGTCTCAGCAGTCTGCTGTGTCGTGTCCATAGGACCAGTGGTATACAAAGTATCCAGGTGGATTTTGATTCGACCTATTTCTAGGTCCTGAACTCCGACCTCAGCCTCTACCCCTACGGGATCCTTGTGGATTTCCCATCTGCTGGGTGTCGATAATTGGGTTGATATTCTCATATGCCAATGTAGGGACGATGTTAAGAGTGGTGGTAGCCAGTGCTTGTCTAGAGCTCTCATTACCAGCTTGGTTCATTTGGTAGTCCATCAAGTGGGAGGTCGACCCTCTAGCACGCTGCCTTTGAGGAGGTGGGAGAGCTCTATTCGCCCTGTTCCTATGTTCAATCAATTCTTCATTGATGATTTCCTGTCTCATCATTTCGAGTAGGGCATCATAGGTGGTGGGGTCTTGATTTTGCACGTCCCTCCAGAACAGGGTGTTCATGTTCAGACCTCCTCTCAATGCAGATAATGCCTCACGGTCGGTGACTTGCACACAATATGTCATCTCATCGGTGAAGTGTGATAGGAAGCTCTTTAGAGACTCCCCATGTGCCTGTCTCATGTCTTGGAGACGTTGGATGGGGGCCTCTCCCTCTTTGCTTACAGTGAACCTCTTCAAGAAGGTCGTCTTGAATTCAGGCCAACTTCTTATGCCCCTAGGTGGTAATCTACTATACCAAATTTCAGCTGCTTCGCTAAGTGTTAAGTGGAAAACTCTGCATTTCACAGTCGAGGGTGGCGTCCCTCAGGCTCATGTGAGTTTTGTAAGCATTC